TTTTTGGAACCGAGTTGAAATGTTACTGCATATTCTAGACTGGGTTTGCAAAACCAGCAGAAGCATAGTAACAAACAGATGTGTCGCAGATAACAGTAATATGCCCAAATGTTATCTGTCTTCTTTAAAAGTCTTAGATTTGTATTTCTGAATAGTCTTTGTTTCTTATATTGCCATAATATTTGGTATATTCGTCCCCCTCCTAGAGAGCCATCCCATATGACAAATAGTATTTTTTGGGAGAGGAAGAAAAAAAGCACATGTTAAAAATGTCCCAAAATGTACATTGAATAACCTCCATGAAGGTGAGGTATGTTGGGGGGTGTCTTTTTATATTTCTTTGTTTAAGTACCACTTAATCTTTATCATTTTGTTATATTTACTTTGATCTAATGGCTATGAGTCATATGTAAATTTATTGTTTAAACATCTTGGAGACCAAAACCTTATCAGAAATTGGAAACACCCTCCCCACCATTTGACCACTTTTCTGCTTATCCTAGGTGCATTAATATTGTCTGTACAGAATCTTTTCAGTTTCCAGTTCCCTCTTCTGCTGTAAACATAGTCCTGCAGTTACTTTAATCTTTTTTTGAGGTGGCCCTGTTCTCACTGGCTCTCTTCCCCCTACCTCTGATCCCCTCTTCTCATTGGATAGTCCGCCTTCTTTTACTACCCAAAAGCTGGTCCTGTTCTTTCTTTTTGTGTGTGTGTGCCCCCTTTCCCTTTTCTCTCACTCACTCTCTGTCTTCTCTTTCTGTTCACTCTAGGTCCTCATTCCTTGACCCTTATATCTATCTAGTCTTTTTCTTTTTCTCTGTAGTTTTTCTGCAGTCATAACTTCCAAGGTATCCATTCTGGGCTTTCCCCTCTTCCTTTTCTGCGACTGCCTTGTAGGCCTTTGTCCAAAGATTTCTCTTTTCCATTATGCTTCACTTAAAAAACAATGCCATTTATGCCCTTTACTGTGTCCTTCATTATGCAGCTCACCACTGATCTATGCCATCTCTTGTTGACATTTTTGTCTGGAAATCTCCCTGTTTCTATGCTCTCCCACTCCTCCAGGTGCCAGTTGCTCCCAGGGTTCTGACTCTGACCACCTCTCTTCACTCATAGGAGCATTGATCATCAGTGGAAGCTTCTCCCCCTCCCCCCATCACCCCCTCCCTTGTAGGTTTTTCTGTGAGTTTACAGAGGTCACTTTCTCCTTATTGCTAGCTTCTACTTGACTTCAGCACATCACTCCTATCACCCTGCTCCCCTCTTCCTTTCATGTACTTTTCCCTTGTAGGCAGACTGTGGCCATTTTCTATCCAAAGTACCCCCAGTTTGCCCCTTCACTATTACCTCTACCAGATTTCTGCCTTTGCCCCATCTGCTTGTGTACATTTAGAAATAATCTCTAATTGGTCTCTCTGTGGTCACTCTGCTGCTATTATTGTCCTTGCCTGCTATATTCATTTACTGCTTTTGCATTTTTGTGATTTGGGAGGCAAATAATCTCTTCAGTTCTGCTTTTCTTTACAAAAATATTTCAGACTTTATTTTTGAATGTCCATCTTTTGTCCTGTGTGGTTAAGCTCAGAATTGCATGATAAATCTGGGAGCTGTATACTGAGGCCCTTTTGTTTGCTCTTTGGAACACATTCCATTCCTTCCTTGGATGCAATAGTCCTATGTTATTCAAATGTCTATTCTTTTATAGTTGAAGATCCCCTGATGTCCTGTAGAACTTGTTTCCAAATTAAATTGTTAAATTTAACTGTTGTGTCTTTTTCTGGGGGCGGGGGAGGCACTCTGAATTCTTTTCAATTGGAATTTCATTTTCAATGTTCAGAAGTTCTGGTTAGTTCTTTTCTATTTTCTTCATTATAGTGTTAAGGTTTTTTGCCCTGTAGTATTCTTCTGGGAGAACCATGATCCTTAGATTTTGCCTGTGCATCCTATCTCTGAGTTGGGCATGTTTTGCTTGCATAGTGAGCATATTTTTGTTTAATGCTATTGTTTTTTGCTTCTATTATCCTAGGTTGTCCTTCTGTGCTCTTATTTCTTTGGTGAGGCTTTTGCCATTGCAAATTCAAATTCTTCTTTTCTGTTTATTATTTTTACTGTGCAGGACATAAATTCTTCTCTTATAATTCTCATTTTGCTTAAATCACTCAGGAATAGCAGATTCTGTATTCTCAAATTCTAAAAGATCCTTTGTCTCATCAAGTATTAGATCATTTTCCTTTATTTTGCAGTATTTATGCCTTAGGTTTTTCTTTTTTAATTAAATTTATTTTAGTTTTCAATATTCACTTCCATAAGGTTTCAAGTTTTCTTCCCATCTGCCCCTCCCCTCTCACTGAGAGGGCATGCAATTTGATGTAGGCTCCACATATACCTTCATATTAGACCTATTTTCATATTAGTCATGTTCTAAAGAAGAATTAGAACCAATGGGAGGAACCACAAGAAAAAAGAAACCAAAAAAAGAAAAAGAGCAAATATGGTTTGATCTGCATTCAGACTCCATAGTTCTTTTTCTGGATATGGATAGCATTTTCCATTATGAGTCTTTTGGAGTTGTCTTAGATCTTTGCATTGCTAAGAAGTCCAAGTCTATAATAAGTCTGTCAAAGTTAGTCATCACACAATGTGGCTGTTACTGTGTACAATGGTCTTCTGGTTCTGCTCACTTCACTCAGCTTTAGTTCATGTAAGTTTCCAGGTTTTTCTGAAGTCCACCTTCTCATCATTCCTTTCTTTCTTTTTTTTTTTTTTGGTAGGTAATGGGGTTAAGTGATTTGCCGAAGGTCACACAGCTAGTAAGTGTCAAGTGTCTGAGGCTGGATTTGAACTTAGGTCCTCCTGACTCCAGGGCCACTGGTCTATCCACTTCGCCACCTAGCTGCCCCTCATCATTTCAGTATTATTCCATTACATTCATATACCACAACTAGCCCCAACTGATGGGCATCCCCTCAATTTCCAATTCTTTGCCACTACAAAAATATATCGTATCCTTTGACCATTTATCTGTGGTTACTATTTTGCTTGTTGATTTATCTGTTTATATTCAAGGTCATTGAGTTTTCATCTTCATGAAATCTTTGGTACTTTGAATAATTTTCTCCCTTATTTTCCTTGTCACTCACTTCCTGACTCCCTCATCTCTGGTTTCCTTGGAGACTGAATTCTTAAAGTGTCCCAGCCTCCTCCCACAATGATCAGTTCATTACTCATCCACTTAGGTCTATGCCCGAAATGACTTTTGAGTGGTTAGAACTGGCCCCAACTGGATGGTGTGTTTTTTTCCCTCAGGCTTGGTGGAGTGCTAAATTGCTATACAGCGGGCCTTCCCCCTCCCCCAACCCTTCCCTTAACCCTCACCTCCTCACCCCCATTTCCCTGGCACTGTTGCAGCACTGGTGCTTCTGGGTTGCAGCTCCTGGTAGGCTTTTGCTCCTGAGGGGCTGTGGCCAGGCTAACTGTCAAGGCTGTAGTGTGATGGCACTGGAAAGAGTGTGGAGATTCGTTTTGATGTAAACCTGTGTGGGGTTCTTGGGCCTGTTAGTGTGGCCTCGATAACCATAGTGTGGGAGGTGGGGAAGGGGTACTGAGTAATCTTAGGGTCAGTGAGAAACACTTTTTGTTTTTTAAACCTTCTGTGTTCTGGATGGATAAGGTGGAAATTGATTTTTATTTTTGATGTGTTATTTCTGTTTTGAAGAGGTTTGAGAGGTTTTGGGGAATTGGGGTAAATGTCTAATCTTTTATCTTGTTGCTCACATAACCCAGTAGTCAAATTATTATCTCATTCTTATTCTTACAGCAAACTGGAGAGGTAGGTACTGTAATTATCCCCATTTTACAGCTGAGGAAACTGTGGCAGAGGTGAAGTGACTTGCCCGGAGTTGCACAGCTCTTAAGTGTTTAAGGCTGAATCTGAACTCAGGTCTTCCTGACTCTGTGCCCAGCACCAACCACTAACCACTTGTCACCAGCTGCCTAATAGACCAGCTGTCTGAATAGGTAGTGGGGTCTTAATATTTGAACATTTTTTTTTATTTAAAAATATGCCTCTTATCTGTGCTAATAGTTGATCTTTACATGGGTTATTCCAAAAGATACATTAATTAATTTTGGAAAACAAGTTGCTTGGTTTCTTTTTCTTAAAAAATTTTCTCATGCTGAACTTCAACACCTAAAAAAGGCATTTCCGCATGCACAGCAGAAGTTTGAAAACTATCCTGTTTGTTACTTTGTCCTTAACTTCATCTGTTGTCTCCTACAAGTGTTACAGTAGAACCCTTTTTTACATCACTATTTCTCCTCCTCTTCACTCCTCATTAACAGAGTTAAAGAAAGGGGAAAAAAACCCTTGTAATAAACATGCATAGTCTAGCAAAATGTGGTCCACTCGCTGGCCATGTCCAAAAATCCATACTTGCCTTTCTGTCATATGGTGGATAACATCATCCTAGGTCCTCTGGAGACAGGTAGATTCATATTGCTTTGCTGTGATTCATTATGAGCTTTGCTCCTTTGGTGCTCCTTCCCTTCCCCCTCTTCAACTTTAAAAAGTTTTTTTTTTTTTTTTTCACGAACAGAAATGGAAGGGGTGGGATTGGTGGAAGGGTAGTTCATTCTACTCATGGAGCCTCGAATAAGGTACAAAAGGCTTCCATGACAAGTTTTTCTTAGCTTAACTTCCTATTGTACCAATTCTGCTCTTCCCTGCAGTGGACTTACTTTATGATTAGACCTTAAGTATGTGGAGAATTTAAGAGAATTCTTTCCTGTGAGATTGGGAGGGCAAGGATGATATAGAGGACAAGCTGCTGATCAGAGAATGCTGACTGCCTTTGGTGTTGTGGACTGATACCTCTTTCTCAGAAAAGGGCAAAAGGGCCAAGGTTTGCATTCAAATAAATACTGATCTCTTCCTGATGAAGTGTGCCTTTGAAGAGAATTGAATTTAACCATGTGTGTCTTTTTTTTCCCTTCCCCCACAGCTGCCTTGCCCTTGATTGTTCTAAACTTGGCCAAAATAAAGCCATATCAAAGAGGCTTTTTCTGTAGTGACAACAGCATCAAGTATCCGTACCATGACAGTACCGTCCCATCCCCTCTCCTCTACGCAGTGGGGTTCACTCTGCCTATTTTTTCTGTAAGTAACTAACTCTATAGGTAGTGGTGGGGATGCTGACATGGTGGTGGTGGAGGAGGTATTACGGATTTGGGATGGGGTCTAAGTCCATAGAGCAATTGGTTGAGGAGAATACCCACTCTCACAATTTAATCTGTCAACAGGGAGCCAATTAAGGATCTATAGGATGTTAGAATTAGAAAGGGGCCTTCAGAATCATCTCATCCAAATTTTCTCCTCTGAAATTTAAAGAAATGGAGAGGTCTGGTAGAGACATATTCAAGATAACACAGGTAGTGGCAGAGCCAAGAGACTAGAATTATTTATTTTTGATATGTTTTATTTTTGTTTTTTTTTTTTGTGAAGCCAATATTTTATTAAGGTTTCAATAAACTTACGTAATGGAAACATGTAATTGAAAAAAAAATTTACACTGACCTCATGACCACCAAGCCATTATAATAGTTTACTAACAATAATTGACAAGAGAGTGACTCAGTAAAATAACTTAATCCAGCAGTATAATGAAAACATGGTCAGTAGAAATGAATATGAATATATCTATCTATCTATATGTTCACACAATCAGGGAGCAAGGCACATTATGACATAAGAGCATACATTTATGCAAAAGACAAGACAAAAATATTAAATTTAATTATATCCTTACTAAATTGTGCATATTCTTTTGTATATTGGGTACTTTATAATGCAGTTCCTTTTGTACTCTCTCTCGTGTTTAATATGTGTTTATACATACATGCACACACACACACATATATACATATACATATACATATATATGTGTATGTGTATATATATATATATATATATATATATATATTTATACTTATTTATTTATTTTTGGCAAAGCTTTCCCAGACTGTAGAAGTCAGAGGTTCTAAGAGCCTCCTTCTTCTCCCCCTGAATATGGTTTAAGGGGTTGTGGTGAGGGAGGAGTAGGAAATGGGGGAGGCAATTCCATTTAAAGATAAAAGGTGCAATTTCTTAGAGGTAAACATGAATGTGTTTACATTTAGTACATGCTTTTGCACAGACTAATAACTTTTAATGTGCATCTCTGTACAGAATTCCATTAATGGCTATTAACAAAATGAAGCTGCAAAACCATGGGAAATATTTAACTTACTGCTTGTTTCTTAAGGATTTTTTAAGAGGTAATTTTGATGTGATTATTAAACATGTATATTAAAAAGAAAAAAAACCCAGCAATACAACCCCCTGAACCAGAGTTATGCTCAAACCAGATTAAAATGTAATTGGGAAGTATTTAGCAAAATAAATAAAAATACAGTAGAACAAAAATAATGCTAATAAGTGGTTTTCTATGTCTCTGTGCTTCTATTTGCATTTTGACATCTGTCCTAAAAACCCTTACAGTTGTCTGGGATTGAGAAGAAAGTACTTTTAATTTGAGGAATGCATATAACACCACAGTCTGTTCAGTGGAGAGAATGTAAATAGACGCACTGTCCCCCCCCCCCCCCCCCCCCCCAAGGCCTCACCTGTCTAGTTTGCAGGATGGTCTGACCTTTGATCATGTTAAGTAACTGGAACTTGTCCTCCTTTTAATGAAGGATCCAACACCTTATTCCTTTATTTAAGTCATTGAAGATTGAACAAAGAATCACTGTCCTCTCTTTTTGTTGTTGCCTGTTCTGAGATTTAGAGCTGAAAGTAACCTTTGAGATCATCTAGTCCAACTGTCTCATTTTGCAGGTGAGGTAACTTGCCCTACAAAGAGGGAGAAATTACTTGCCAAGGTTACAGAGGTAGAAACACCTAGCATTCAAGCCCACATCTTCTTACTCCACATCCCCACTCATTCTGTGACACCTCGCTGTTTTGCTGCTGGGGCAGAGGAGAAGAACCTGCTTGGCTGATGAGGGGCCTCTCAGGCCTTATCAGGGTGTAGGGTCTAGGTGCTCGCTGTGACCTTCCCCCAGCATTGACCTCGTGGCATTTCACTCTTTCTTCATATTGTAGTGGCTCAGTGTTGCATTCAAATGGATGTGTGATCTTGTTGATTAGATGGTGCAGGTTATAGCTCATTTAAGCCAGCCCATTCTGTGCCCTCTTGCCCAGTGTTTTTAGTCCTTGGAGGTTCAGGATTAGGGCTACTAATATAGACATTAACTATCCTTTCAGCATGAGAACTGAAAGTAAATACTTTCCTGTTTCATAGCATAGTTTGAGTTTGAGTTCTTTCTCTTCTCTCTCTCTCTCTCTCTTTCTTTCTCTCAGAGCATTCTAAATAAGATCCCCCTGAAATCGATAATATATTGCCTGACGTATATAGTCCCTAGTCTGTTGTGACATTTAAAATGTCTAAAAAAAAGATTTCATGAATATATTATTTACAAATGTTATTGAAGAAGGTATCTTCATTTGATATATTTTAATTTAACCTCATAAATGAAAATTATCTCTGTAATATGGATGTTTTTGCATAAAGTATTGTACTTACATTATCTTAATGCTAAAGGGGAAGGTAAGTATAGTAGGAGATAGAGACAAACTTTTAGTTTTCCAGGGGGTGGTCACAGTATCTTATTCATAGCCACAATGAAAGGCCAGGTGATGGGATTATAGCCTCAGGTGAAAGCCAGAGATTTGGCCATGTGGGAAAGTCCAGGGTTTTTCCTTTCTGGGGTCCAGAACCCAACCCCATCATTCTCCCCTCAAACAAACGGGACCCAAATTCTTTTAGGGTAGGAGATGAAGGTCTTGGCTACTAAAACTGCTTCTTGCCAGCAAGGGGCGTAAAGCTGTCCCTGTCTCAAGGGGGTCCCAAAGAGGTTGACAGGAACTGTTTTAATGAAACTGAAGATGTCTCTGATTTAATTTCAGTTGTTTGGGGGTATTGAATGACTACACAGTCAGGTCAAAACAGTAAGATCTCACACACTTGCATTAATCTTTTACTGACCACTTGCTAGGATTATAGAAATTTACTATAAAAGGATAAAGCAGGTCCTCGATTTAGGGCCCAAATATGACAGAATAAAACAGCTTTAGCTCTGTTTGGATCCAGATAATTCAGTTTTCCAACCATGCAGTGTCAAATCCACCTCACAGCCAGGTGGGTAATATTCCTTATCAAAGGAACATAATGGGGAAACTGAGCCAGGAGGATCCCATCTTGGATTGAGACTGAAATTGTCCTCTCAACTTTTCCTGATGCTGACTTCCCACCAGTATCACATTCTCTCTGAGTAGCTTGTGGCATTTCTCTCAGATGGTGGATTATTGATTATCCATGGATTATGATCCATCAGACAACTCAAAATAAAATCCCTTGAGCTTTTAACCTCAAACAGCAAGTTTCATAGCTTAGGAAAAACTTTTCCAGGATTTACATCTCAAATTTAAATTTGTCCTGGTGTAAAAAGCCAATCATTAGAGATTATTTCTATATACTTGCAAATTCTTAACAAGCCAAACAAGATTTTTGGCAAGTTTTCACATTAAAACAATAATCAACAATAGCCAAATTTATTTTAGCGGTAACCAAATTATGAAAAGTTGCTTGACATAAATTGTTAAATGCATTTCCAAATTACTTTACACAGAGAATCAACATCTCTTAAAAGAGGGTACTTACCCAAGGTTCTTTACCTTGAGCAGGCTGGGTGATGCTTCTAGGCAAAAGTTGCCCCAGGGCCCAGGGCCATTGTAGAGAGTGAATGGAGGGGGGTGGGAAGGGTGAAACTCTCTTCTCCTATGAGAGGTATTAACAAACCCTTTTGACTCAAGGGAAGGGAGTGTGAGAAGGGAGTGACCAGGGTTGTAAGGAGGTGTTTCTTAGATTGTATTGGAACTATGAGTGAAGATGGTTTAAGTATTTTGATGACATTTAAAAGCAGATTTATATAGAAGGAAAAATCATTCAGTGATGAAATATATTGCTAATAATCAAAATTGTAACTCATTTAGTTTCACATGAGCTGTTTTCACTGAATTCTGCTGTGGTTTTCCCTTTTGCTATGGTTTTTTCAACTGACTCATTGGGAAAACATCTGCTCATGAAATCAACTGCTTAAAAAGAGTCTTTAGTGTTAAACAAGTTATTAGTATTAGGGCATGTTATAGAATGCCTCTGATGAGGTTAACTAGTTACACCCTATGGCAAATGGGGCGTGCCTCACTGGAAACCAGATGATTTGGTTGTCTTATTTGCTAAATTCTGTCTCCGTAAATTAGTGGCCTTTATTTGCTGTCTCTTTTATTGCTTTTCCTTAACAACGTTAAAGTGTTTGAAATATAGCCTTCTTTTGTGCTGTCTGAGTAAAAAGTACATCAGGTGTGGACAAAAAAAAAAAGACAACAATCTTTTTCCATGTTTATTAGCACTTTATTGTTTGTAAAATTCTTTCCTCACACCACTTCAGTATTTTAAGTAGTAGTGTTCCCATGTTATAGCTGAGGGAGCCGAGGCTCAGTTTATGTAACCTCTAGGGTTACACTGGTAAGTGGCAGAGTTGGGACTCATCCGTCTTCTGACTTCAACCAGTACTTTTTCTACTGTATCATATTGCCTCCTGTCCAGTAATTAACTGGATCCTGTAGGGGGAAGCCTAATAAGTTCAGCATGTTAATTTTCTCTACCAAAAAAATGTATCCCTTTCCTATTCCCACAGAACTTTTGAGACAATTTCTGAATATTTTGGCTCTGTAATATTCTCTCTCTGTCATGGACAAATGGTGAATTTGGTCACTGCCCTTCGTTTGACCTTAAGAATTTTCCATTGTCAATTGACTTAACTTAAAAGTGAAAATGAGGTAGGGTAGCTTTCCCGTCTCCTTAATGGTATTTTGAAAATGAGTGGAGGAGGCTGTATGTATTCAAGAAACTGGGTTATCTTCCCACAGTGTTGCTTTTCTTGAGGGTTGTTACTAAAAACATGTTTGAAGTGTCCTGCCACAATGATGAAGCTTCTTGCTGTATAAAATCACTGAAAATTACTACAACATGAGTATTTACTTGGGCGAGTGAATAT